AGCAACCTAAGTGTCCACTGGCAGATGAATGGATAAAGAAGATGTGGCACATATATACAATGGAATATTACTCAGCCATAAAAAGAAACGAAATTGAGTTACTTGTAGTGAGGTGGATGGACCTAGAGTCTGTCATACAGAGTGAAGTAACTCAGAAAGAGAAAAACAAATATTGTATGCTAATGCATATATATGGAATGTAAAAAAACAGTACTGATGAACCTAGTGGTAGGGCAGGAATAAAGATGCAGACATAGAGAATGGACTTGAGGACACGGGGAGGGGGAAGGGTAAGCTGGGACGAAGTGAGAGCGTGGCACGGACATATATACACTACCAGATGTAAAATAGATAGCTAGTGGGAAGCAGCCGCATAGCACAGGGAGATCAGCTCGGTGCTTTGTGACCACCTAGAGGAGTGAGATAGGGAGGGTGGAAGGGAGATTCAAGAGGGAGGGGATATGGGAATACGGGGATATATATATATCCATATAGCTGATTCACTTTGTTATACAGCAGAAACTAACACAACATTGTTAAGCAAATTATACTCCAATAAAGATGTTTAAAAAATTAAATAGACTTTAATTATATATTTTTATAAAAAAATGACTCAGGGATTTATCACTGATGATAATAGCTAACACTGAATGAGCCTTGTGCTAAGGGATTTCCAATCGTGGTCTCAATTTAATTCTCAAAACAACAACCTAGGAGGTAGGTATTGTTACCCTTATTTTATAGAAGAGGAAACTGAAGCAAACAGTGCCTCAATCGAAGGTGCCACAGCTAACAAGCCACTGAGAGATGCAGCTCCAGGCTGAGAGTTAGTCACTGCACTATATTGTCTTGGAATATGATCTTGGTTTCTTGAAAAAAAATTCTCTTTTCATTAAAAGTGGAAGATACACAGTTCTATGCTTTAATATATGGACACTTATAGTAATAAGGACAGGGCAATGATCTGGAATTCAGGATCAACTTTCCCACAGAAACAGTGCCATAAAAGGGGATGCTGTTCCACGGTAATCCACAAAAGGCCTTTATATCCTATAATGTTAACTGCAACACCGCAAGATAAATGCCCATGGATGACGTAGGTATGGGGTGCTACCGTGAATGGGACACATGTAAGGAGTCAGGCAGCTTTCTGGGAGAAGCAGCTTAGCTGAGCCTGGAAGATGAAGAGGCTGTTTTTCAGAAGACAAGGTGGGAGGAGCATTCCAGGCAGAGGGAAAAGCAATGCAGAGGCCTGGAGGTACACAGGGGAAGGTGCACCCAGGGAGGTTCAGTGATTTGGTCTGACCAGAGAGGGTATGTGGGGTATGAGGGGAGCTCAGGAAGACAGGCAGTCAGGGCCAGATCAAAAAGCTGCTGAACACCAGGCTACGGAGTAAAGTTTTCTATGGCACACTTCTAAGGAATTGAGTGTATTTCCATTCTTTACAGAGATGTCTGTTTGGGCTCTGGTGAGGATGGAGTGGGATGGGGTTGGGTGAGGATTCAGAATTTTGTATGGGCAAATGTGTGGTAGGAAAGTAGGCCTCTCCCAGTCCCTGCCAGAGGTTCTGACAACCCCTCCGGAGAAGGCCTGGCCTGGGAGCCACCAACGGGTGTCAGGCAGAGGAAAGGTCTGTATTTTAGGAAGGACACTCTGGAGGTGGACCCACTGGAGGTGGAGAGGAGATAAGTTCTGAGGCTACCTCAATGGACCAGGTAAGAGTCGGGAAGGACCCGAGTGAGGGAAGAAGTGATGGGATGGATGTCCCAAAGTTTGGGACTTTAATTCCCCTACAAGACCTGGTAAAGGAAGACAAAGTAGCAAGTATATTTCACTTGCATCTCAGAGGAAAATCAGAGCCAGACTGTCCGAGCCCTTGGGCCACACAGCTGGGAACACACAGGTGACTGGGGGCTAACAGAGAGCCAAGGCCAGGACACGGGACTTGCCTGTCAGGTCTCAGCTCAAACTCCCTTTCTTCCGGGAGGCCTTCCCCAGTCCTATATTAGCTGAGGGCTCCCTGTAAGGTCCTTCCATGCACTTTGTCTAGCATAACAGTCATCACTCACAATACCATCGGCTGTCTCAGGCATCGACTGTGAAGGCAGAACTGTGTCTCACCTACTTACCACTGTGCACCAGTGCCCAGAACTGTGCATGGTACACAGTAGGGAGTGTCTCAGACCTGGGGTTCTGAGCGGCACAATTTGAAAATCACCGAAGGATGACCAGCTGGTGCCGTATGTTTGTGAAGGAAGCTGCCATGTCCCCTTTCCCTGCATTTCAAGTTCAGCTGGAGCTGAGGGTCACTGTCCAACTCTTGAGACCTCCCAGTTCTGCAGCATTAAGCAACTTGGTGCTTGTGGCTGGGACAGGCCAGGGACACCTGACGCCACTGGAGTGGCCTCAGGGTAATACTCAGAGCAGGGAAGATGAGGAGATGACACACTCTTCCTCCCTTACAGTAGATGCAGGCGGGAGCCACCACACCTTGCAGGCCAAAATCCAGGGCTGGCAAACACCACTCCCTCCCTAGCCAGTGCCTGTGGCAGGCCTCACCTATTGATCACAGCACACTTTCCTGATGAGCCTGGGAACCCCCTCTCAATCCCTCTCCATCCAGCACCAAGGATGAAACCTATTTGTCAAGCCAGGTCCAGGTGATTTTATACAAGCTAGCTCCTTATATCTGGATACCTGGGATCAGGAAGGTCAGACATCCAAATGATGGTGGGGGCTTTTTTCTTCTCACATGGATGTGGAGGGTGAACATTTTCCCCACTGGAGTATCTTTCTCAAGCCCACATCTGGTCCCTCTGAGCCTCCTGTGCTGAATTTCAAATGCAATAAAGCGCCTGACCTCCCAGCTTGGTTCCTGGCTTCTGTGCTCCACGCATGGGCACGCAACCCTGCTTAACTGAAGGTGGTAATGGGGCTCCAGGAAAGACCCATTTAGGCTGCAGCAATCACTTTCCTCTTAAAAACAACTAATAGGAAACTAGCACTCCCTCACAATGGGGGGTGGCATGGTGATCGTCATGTCCAAAAGATTAAGTTTTGATTTGCTGGGCTCCTTTTCCTTCATCTTTAAGGCAACATGAACCCAAAGGTATCTGGATGTCACCAGAAGCCTGGCTAAGTATTATCTCTAAGTATCTTGAAGGCAAGGGACAAGGTTTTCTAAATACTTTTGCTGACTCCTGCAAAGCACCCAGTGCACCCTGCATGCAGAGGGTGAGCTGACAAAGCTGCAGGTCTACTGCCTAATTAGCACAAGTATCAACTACTTTCTGAAAAGTACACATTATGTTTAGATTGCAAGTGGCATTATGGAGGTGAATAACCTCTGAACTGACCAACTCACACCCAGTGAGTTCAGCTGTTTAGAAGAGCTGAGCATGACAAAGGAAGCAAAAAAGGCCCACAAACAACCAAAAGAGATGCCATACACTCCCACATTAAGATTTGTAGACTGAACAGTAGGGAACCCCTCCAGTTACTCTCTCCGAGACTATTTACTCCAGCTCTACAAACAACTCTAATGAGCTCAGACATGCCTCATTTGCAGATAACAGAGCATTAGGAAAAGCATATTTAAAGGTGAGTATATATCTGAAAGTGGGGAAACTGAGCAAGGCGTGAGCTGGGAGCAAGGTCATAGAAAGAAAAAACATACTAAGCCTTATAATAATTCCAAAAATTATAGTAGTTTAGAGATGTCTGACATAGGGGGCAATAATCCTACAAACCGTCAGAGCCCATCTGACAAATGTCATTTTAGTACAGTGAGCCATAATAATGACGCTGAATCATTTGTTAAAGACAAATTAAATTACGTTTTTCTTTTAAAGAAGGAGGGGAGAAGGAGGTAATTCATTCCAGAATTTTAAAATTCAGGGTGGAATATATTTTTTAAATGTTTTGGAAATTAAAGGAATAGCTTTATTAGGAAAATTAATATATGTAGGGTAGTTTTACCCTGATGATGTTGTTTAAATGTGGCATCACTACAATAAGAAGAGACACCAACGCTGAGGTTGAATTGAACCTGTAGGGGTAGCACGTATGGACCCCAGGGGTTTGGACTGAGAGAAAAGATGACACAGGCGTCAGTGTGTTTCCTAAATCTAGGATGTATTTCAAATGCTGAGACCAAACCCTAAAATGACATACAGCACCACGGGGCCCTAGGAAACAGCCTGCCTTTCTTATCCATGATGGACGATCTCACACAGGGAGTGGAGCAACTCATTCTAGAGGCCAACATTGTGCTATTTTTGCTTGCTTGTTTTTTGTTTTTCACTTGGCAGTGCTTGACAGGTGGCTCAGAGGCAGGTTTGGGTGTGAATATCTAGGTTCATCTGGTTGCTGCCCCTCTTTGGTCCAGGCTGGGCCAGGTCCATTGTGCCATAAACTCCTGCTAGTGTAATGAAGGAAGAAACCAGGAGACCATGACAAGACAGTCTTCAGCTGGAAGACAGGCAGAAAGCTTTAGATCTACATGCAAAGTAATTCAGTCTTGGGTTTCTAACACTTCATTTTCTGGTATTGCATCTCAACTTTTCACAGGATTTTAAAGCTGAAAGGAATAAATTTAGTAAAGGTTTTGGAGCCAGAAAGATGCAGGTTTGACGGCTGGACACATCAGGGGAATAATACCTACATGACAGGTCTCGTGAAGATTAAATAAGATAACATAAATAGAACATCTAATATAGTGCCTGGCACGTAGAAAATACTTTAAAAATGGTAGTTATTATAAAACTGTATTTGATTAAGGGTGCCCTCCGGAAAGAGGTGGAATCTGACTGAAGGCTCCTGTGTCAAAGGACATCACACTCCCCTCCCCCGCACTGTCTCCTCTAATAGCTGATTTTAGCCACCTGGTTGGTGGGAGGGGGCCTGAGATAACAAAACACTCAGTCTCAGCCTCACATCCCTTTTCTCCCTGTAGGGTGTCAAGCAGGTAAAGTTGTGAGGGAATCAGCAAGGGTCTCACCGAATCAGCCCACTGGCTCGGGAGCTCATTCTCTCCTGCATACGACATCCAGGCCTGGTTCCTGTAGGACGAGGGAGGCGTCGGGATGAAGTAGCCGGTGAAGCCGGGTCTGCTGGCAGCTGGAATGGCGAACACTGCCGGCACCGTATTACCTGGCATGGAGGAGATGTACGGGCGAGATTAGGCCGGCACCTCGCCCACTGGTCTGACATATGCACAAGCTGGGGGAAGCTCGGAAATGGGAGGACTCTGGCCTTGGGGGAAGGGCTGATGGGAAGGCATCACACCTCCTCCTGCAGCCCCAGCCCTGCTCACCTGCCCAGACAGTAGTGGAGGCATCACCTGCTGGGACTCAGACCTATAGCTTTCTAGAGAAGTGATGGCTCACAATCCTTGCCGAGCCCTCACCAACTCCCCATCCCCATCCCAACACCCCTGACCTGCTTGGGGTGCCAGGTGTTTTCCTCCCAGGAGGATGGGTATTTTTCAAAAGCCAAGAAGAGGAACCAAAAGGAATAGATTTCACTGGTGGCATTTCTGGACACAGTATGCTTTAGTAAGTGTTGACAACCAGGTGTTTGCAGTTTTAGCCTAAAAGGTATGGTTTGGATAAATGAAAAAACCCATTAGGGCATGTTCAAACCTCCGTGTTCATTGACATTGTTTGTAATAGCAAAAAACTGGAAACAACCAATATGTCTCTCACTAGGGGACAGGATAAATGGTGGCATATCACATTATGGAATACCATATGGCAGTGTGAACAAATGAACTGGATCAACATGTGTGTAACAACCTGGAGAACTCCTGAAAACAATGTTAAGCCAAGAAAACAAAGTGCAAAAGGAAAGGTATAGCTTAACATCACTTATGTAAATTTAAAATATACAAAGCATTAACATATACCATTGTACAGATATACATATGTAGTGAAAGCCCATGACTTAAAGACTGTGATTACCTCTGGGGAGAAGGGGAATGAGTTGGGAGTGGACAGTTGTATCTGGAATGCTTTAAAGATATATGTAATAATTTTTTAAAGGGCCTTAAGTCTGGCAAAATGTGAACATCCACCCTGCCCGTAACCGATCTTAATATTTTGTCAGAGTTCAGATCTTTTTAAGAAATAAAAGCAGTAGCTCTTCTAGCCAGGGCTACTGAAGTCCAGAGGGGATCCAGAAATACAGTTGCTTTGATTCCTGACGGTGGCGGGTAGAAGGTGGAGAGCGGGGAGGACAAAGTGCACAGCGCGGGGGCTGGTGCAGGGCGCGGGCTTCTTCCAGGCCTTTCTCCTCTTGCCCACCTGAGTAATTTAAAGCCGACTGATCCAACTGCGCCACAGACACAGGGCCTCGGGACACCTGCGCGAAGGAGGCGCTGTCGTGCAGCTGGGCGGGCTCAGGCCCCGCGGACTCGGCCATCCTGGTCTTGCTTCCAATATCCGAGGTGGACCTGCGGGGGGAGAGGGGCCGCCTTAGCCGCCTCCCAGGACCGCCGCCGGCCCGGCAAGGCGGGGCTCCCGGGGCAAATCACGGCCGAGGATGGCTTCGGCCTCCAAGCCCCACGACGGCGGGGTCCTCAGTCCTGGGTTTGTCCGCGAATAACAAAGGGGGCCTACACTCCCAGGCCTGGAGCAGCCGTCGCGGTGGCTCGAGCTGGAGTCATTTTTAGATATTCAAGATCAGTGCTCCCCTGAGGGTGACTCATGTCTCTGGGGAGTAGAACACTTAGTTAATTTCCACATAAAAATGAGCCAAGAATTAGCGCTGGGTCTTAGCTGGGGACGGTCGACCTAGTAGGTGATGACATCATCGGCAGCCAATGAGAAGGCTCCGTCTGGAGTGCGCCGCCACTCCCCCTCCTGACAACGGGACCGAGACCCTGGAGGGCTTCGGGGACCGCGTTCCCTGCTGCTACTGGCAGGAAGCAAGAAGCCCTAGGCTCTGGGAAGCTCGGGCTGCTCCCGGAAGCAGGAGCCTAGTACTTTCTGGGCATTATGAATGAAAGAACACTTTTTTTTTTTTTTTTTTTAAAGTTCCACAGGCAAGCACAGAATCTGGCGCATTTAACACCTCTCTCCACTTATAGCTCAGAAAGCCATGTAAGAAGAGGGGGCTGGGGTGAGGGCACGGGCCTCTCCCCCTAGTATAAAGGGTTCTGTAGCCAGGCTCTGTCTTCCCTTTGGTAGAGGCACTTCGGGCTCTCCTAAAATTAGAGTGGAGGGAGGCAAAGGCTGCCAGCCCACAGGGCCACCCTCTAAGCAGAGGCAGGCTGTCACAGTAAGAGCAGAAGAGAGGCGCATCGGAAGCCTGGGTTCTGGCTGCCTCCTCTCTCTGAGCCCCAGTTCCTCATCTGTAAAATGAAAGGGGAGGATGACTCCATCTCAAAGGTTCTTCCCTGGTCTAAACCTCTGGGTTCATAAGGAGGGCAGTGAACTCCTGGTATTTGGCAAGGATGGCAGACGGTGCAGGACATGAGAGGAGACTGGTGGTTGAGAGAAGAAATAAGAAATAGGTGCTGGGGCTTCCCTGGTGGCGCAGTGGTTGAGAGTCCGCCTGCCGATGCAGGGGACACGGGTTCGTGCCCCGGTCCGGGAAGGTCCCACATGCCACGGAGCAGCTGGGCCCGTGAGCCATGGCCGCTGGGTCTGCGCGTCCAGAGCCTGTGCTCCGCAACGGGAGAGGCCACAACAGCGAGAGGCCCAC